CTGCATAGTCAGTGGAATTGATTAACCTGAAAAATAAGATAGCAGGTTAAATTGCACTCATTTTGCAAATATTCATTTGCAATGTCGTGTAATCTGGATTTAAATTTGTAACTTAGCGATCTCAACCATTCATAAGCTGAAAGAAACCTGAAATTTCATTAGAAGAACAGAAAACAAGCCTATAAAAAAGGATCGTTACACAAATAATCGGTCAGATTCAATGTTTATTTTTTCTAGCCTATACATAGATTATACACAGTTATATATATATACATGAATTATTCCGATGGCATGTCTTTGATAAGTATGAGAGGTTCAATATTCCGTATAAAATCAAAAGTTCTATAGCGAGAAGACTTTGAGGTATTGAAGACTGGTTCAGTTATTACACACTTCATATAACTACACTCCAACCAAAACCTTAGAAATCTAGACTTGTTGTATGACCTAAGTGTGCGAGAACAATTGATGTCTAGATTTATCAGATTGATGAGCAATTATATATATTCCTTTATACAATTCCAATGAAAAAAAAATAAACTTTATAATTGTTAGTCAAGATTGATCCAACAAGGAGCTAACCCTATATTTGACTTTCTCTATATATGGTTCTTCTCCTCCTAAAAGAACGGATTACTATGTCATATTTTTCTTATCATATGTATTTAATATTATTCCCAACCAGCTGCTAGGACCTCCTGGAACATTTCCTTTTTATATACTCCATTTTTCTTGCTTTCCTTCTTTGGTTTTAGGTCAAGGAGCCTTGGCATAATTGTAATCCCTCCGTTTACTTTTAGTTGTTCACTTTTGACTTTACACTCTCTTTAAAAAAAATAAAAAATATATATATTTTACAATTTTACCTATAATGATGATAGCATTTTCAAAAATCTTAGAAAATAATTTGGGGAATGAGTAGTTAATGATAAGGGTAAAACATGTAAAAAAAAATAATATTATCTTTTTCTTGATTTAGTATTTAATTTCTCTTGATTTAGTATTTAATTGCAATTGGGTGGGGTCTTAGATCGTTAAAGAAGAAATGTGTAAATAATATATTATTAGATGGCACATAATGTAAAAAAAGTGATTCACTAGTTTGATCCGTGACAAGCAATGATTAGATTAAGTAAAGAAGTGACTGACTATTATTTAAATCTAAGCTTTATTTGCGGCAAACAATTTTTGAATCTTTGAACAATGATAACACCATGATCAAAAGAAAACCTCGATTACTGTGGATGTAATCTTATTACAATCTCCTTAATTTCTTTTAAGTTGTAATCAATGCCACGTACACTAGTTTGGATTCCAGCCTAACCTTCTCTTTTTCGCTTTCAATAAAGGATAGCCAACATAAGCAAAAGAGAAAGAATGCATGCCATATTGCTAAACAAATTCTTTGAATGATGACCAAACCACGTCAATTTATTTCTAATCTTTTTTTAACGGCGGTGGTGTCCGAGTATATCTAGACTATTTCACTGAATAATATATTTAGGTAGATATAAGAAATTAATTACTCCCTTCGTCTCAAATTATCTATTTTATTTTTCTTTTACACGACCTTTGAGAGACATTAATTGAAAGGAGTTTTTGTCTATTTTACTCTCATTTATGTTTTAAAATATAATCTCTCTTTATTGAGTATTTATTCTATTTATATGTCATATTCATTCTCAAGGACAATTACTACTAAGGATAAAATGAGAAAAAAATAATTAATTTTGTCTTAAATTTTTAAAATGACAAATAATTTGAAATAATTATTTTTAGAAATCACGACATATAATTTGAGACAGTGGGAGTAATATATTTGTCTCCTCATTTGAACTTGAGACCTCTGGCCTAAGTGCAATTTCATTTCCAATCTTATGATAGATTACTTACCCCTTTGTTGTTTATTTCTTTACCATTCTCGATTGAGCTCTTTAATTTAATAAGCTTCTAAATATGGGATCAGTCCGTATTTTCTAACGAAGGGAAGGAAACTCTTTTAGAAATGTATTTCTTTATTTGAACGGTGTTACCCGTTCTAACAGCGGGACCAATTTAAAAGAGGAAATATTTGTCCTCTAATTCTTGTTTTTAAATAAAGTCTGATTTAACAGTACAAAGCTTAATTTGTTGGGATTCTCATGTTATTACTTCGATCAAGCTCAGACCAAAATCAATGATTGGAACATGTGACAATTAGACACTTTAAATGAGATGCCCAGGAAAAGGAACGTTGCAAATCTTTCAAAATTAGAGGAAAGCAGTCAAGAAAAGAAGGAAAGAGAAAAACATCAAACATTAACTGTTTGGATGTTTCAAAGAGGACCATGGTTCCCATTTGCAAAGGTAAAAACGTTGCCCCATATTGCACATTTTCGAATACAGCCCACACCCCATTTTTTCTTATAAGGGTGACTTCCGTACCTCAATTATTTTACCAGGTACCTATTATTTCTTACCAGCGCAAATACCATTTAATATGCATGAGATGTTATAAAGAATCATTAATTCTTAGTGGTGTGTTAGTGACAGAAAACAACAATTTCAACTAATGATCAGAATGTGCTGCTGAGGGTAAAATAAGCAGTAGGGTAATTCCAACTTTGTCTTTGATGAATATAAATACAAGTTTATGAAGCCAAGAACACTGACATCAACTGAGAATTAAGAATGCAAACACAATGAACAATTTTAAAGCAATCATGAGAACCTGAGAAGTCAGATAAAAGTCGGTATGTGTCATCTCTGATCATGCAGTAAATCATTAACTACAATGGGACATAAATTATGCCTGGTGATCAAATAGCAAGTAAAATTTGGTGATAATCAGTAACATATAATATCTTCCATTCCATCCAAGAAAAAGAAAAGAAATACATCAACCAGTTTCCATTCTCTAACCGGATTTTCTTTTCAAACATAACACAACATGGATATATCTCCATGTAGTTGGCTCAAGAAAGGACTACATATTTAACAACAACAAAGTCGCAATTCCAAGAAAGTGAGGTCGGCTAAACGAACACTCATTGTCTATGTCGCTCCATTTAAGCCTCTCTCAGTCAGACTACATGTTAACAGAAAAAAAAGGAGGAAAATTTATTTATCTAAGACTCTAAATAGTCGAGTTTGCGCATGGATGCTTAAACTCTGAGCAAGTAAATACTAAGTTCAGGAGCTCCATCACTATCAGGATTCATCATGTAGAAAGCCTCTGAATCTCTAGACCCCACTACTCTCTCAAACTTTGCCCTCATATACATCACATCCCCTGAGTCATGACACTCACCATTCCCTTCTGGTAAAACACCAGCACCCATTGATATTGGCTCCACAGCTTTCAGAATCTGCAATTCCTTTGTCCCACATTCCCTTCTTGTTGCAAAGCCACATTTCTTCCCATTACAGTAAGTCCTCCACAAAATCTCATCTATGAGTCTAGTTGATTTTTTCTCTTCTTCTTCCTTGTCACATTCCAATGCAATCCTAACCAATCCGGATGCCATTTCGTGGACTAATCCACTTATAGGGGTGGCTAATTCTACCAAGAAAGCTGGCTTTGAATTGGGATCTTTCTGAAATGCAAAATGTACATGTCCTTTCTTGTGTCCGAAAAGGGTGCCCACAACTTTAGTTCCTAGGCCTTGTTGGAAATATCCTTTGTTTCTACCAAGTGATGTTAGTACAGATTTCAGCCTGGCCACTGCTTTCCTCCCTGTTGGAGCAGATGCTGAAGTTGCTGTTACTGATTCTTGAATTAACTTCTTGTCCTCTGTCTTGTCTTCAAGAATAGTGTTTAAGGAAGAAGATTTGGAGGTTGAGACTTGGGGATATTTCAAAGGAGATAACTTTATGTTTTCTGCTTTTACATCTTCAGTGTTGTTTGTGTATGAGGTGGCTTTAAGGAATGGATCTTCTGCTGCTACTTGTTGTTCTTCATTGCTGACTTTAGTTGTCCAGTTTAACTGCTTCTTGGAGGACAGATCATGGAAATTCCTTACCATGATTGTCTTCATCCGAGAAAGAAAAGCAAAGTAGGCTGCACTTTTAAAGTGTTAGTTGGTAGGTAGGAGAATGAGGATTGACAGATTCGTATAATTTTATTTTAGACACCTGATAATGTAAAAGTTCATTTATACAACGGAACATTGATTTGTTCTTTTCGGAGTATTCTTTTTTTATTATTATTTAAATTTGTTTATCTTCTAGTACTTGGTCATAGTACAAGAATCTGACAAAAAGAAAACATAAGCTACCCCACCAACTGTCATGGGAACTGGGAGTGAAATACGAGGAAAGGGCAGGCATGAGTTGGGAGATATCCCCCCACCCCCTAACAATAATATTTTGAAATAAAGAAAGGAATCTCAGTGAGACAAGGTAAGGAGTATCTTGACTTGAACCCAAACACAGTAAAAAAGAAAAATGAGGTGGTCACAAAATCAGAGAACTATAGCTGTTTACAGCAGACATCCCCTTCTCTGCAAAACATACCCAGAGGACCAGAGTCAGTGATGAATGGTGATGTTGGGCTTAGCTCAACGATCACTTTAGATTCTCTACTCAAGAAGACACAATTATTTACAATAAACAGTACCACAAAGGTAACATTGAATTCAGGTGTCTCTTTCTTGTCCTCTTTCATTGAGCTTCAAATATTGCCAAAGCCAAACCCTGGAAATGCGATGGTGGGCCTAAATGAAAAAGAAGATCCATTTTTCATTTTCCTCTGCCGGATATTCAATTACCTGGAAGGGAAAAAGCGAAAGCACCAGAAACAAACAGTGGCAGATCCAAAATAAACAAAGAATGGTCATTTAGGCAATTTATAATGACCCTTATTCTATTGCGACGATCACATTCATCATTCTCTCCCACTGGTTCAGTGTTGGGACAATTTTTTATTTGGTAAAGTACTATCTTTTCCAGTAGTTTCCGTGTTGAGATTGTTTTTTATTTGGGCAAAATGGAAAGAGGCAAAGACCCCTTTGTGACAGAAATACTCACAAGAGCCCTCATAAACCAACATTCTGAAGCAAATTCCTACTAATTTACATAATATATGAACATAATGCATCGAGTACAAACTGAACTAGAGCCCTCACAGTCGACACATGCGCCAGGAGCTTTTTCCACATAATAGAAGAAAGATCCCACTACTAAGACTAAAGATGCTTTTCCTACAGAACAACAAAAAGTGAAGTTAGCTATTAAAGTTTTGCTTTGCTTCTGAATCTTGCTCCTTGGGGGGGCCTGTAACACCACCATTCATCATTGCATGCGCCTCAGCAAACATCCTGTTGCTCAGCTTCTGAATCTTGCTGCTTGGGGAGGCCTGTAACATCGCCATTCATCCTTACACATGCCTCAGCAAACATCCTCTGCTGCTCAGTTTCTGAATCTTGCTGCTTGGTGGGGCCTGTAACATCGCCATTCATCCTTGCACACGCCTCAGCAAACATCCTCTGCTGCTCAGTTTCTGAATCTTGCTGCTTGGTGGGGCCTGTAACATCGCCATTCATCCTTGCACACGCCTCAGCAAACATCCTCTGCTGCTCAGTTTCTGAATCTTGCTGCTTGGTGGGGCCTGTAACATCGCCATTCATCCTTGCACACGCCTCAGCAAACATCCTCTGCTGCTCAGTTTCTGAATCTTGCTGCTTGGTGGGGCCTGTAACATCGCCATTCATCCTTGCACACGCCTCAGCAAACATCCTCTGTTGTCCAACTTCTGAATCTTGCTGCTTGGGGGGGCCTGTAACACCACCATTCATCCTTGCACGTGCCTCGGCGAACATTCTCTGTTGCTCAGCTAAAGCTTCTTCTTCAGTCATTTCGGCTACATTATTACATTTCCCAGATCTCACAGTGTCCTATGGTAGAAAAATACACCAAAAGGAAATAAATGATAAAACTTATTGCAGTTATAAATCACTTTAAATGGTTTAGCCACATGCTGTGGACTCAAGGGGAGAAGGAGAAACTCACTTGGAGAACAAAAGACAAAATGAAAAGAAATCACTAAGATAAGACCTCCATGAAAAAAGGAAAGAGATGGTAGCTCAACAGATGATACACTAGCTATTCAACAGAGAAGCTGAATTAATAATAGGTTATCCATATGTCAAACTAAAGTAAGACAATAAGAAAAGAGAAATTACCATGGTCTCTAGCTTGTGTTGTTCATATGCAGCATATACTTCTTCTATATATTCCCCAAAACCAAGAACCTGAGAGATCATAAATTAACATAAGCAAAGACGATACAAGCAAGTTCTGATTACCAAATCATATCTTTATTTTTCACTCCAAGCCAAAGCAAGGATATCATAAAAATTCACTAGCGGATAATATTAATATATTAACGTCAAAAGGATAATACATGATTAAAATTTCTGGCTGGTATTTTATAAAGGTAAAAAAGGAAAGATTTCTGGATGGTCAATGATGAAAATAATTGTGTCACTACTATTCCATTGGTTTCTGTGGTGAATACATTCCTCAGACCCCAGATAAAGGAAACCATCATTTACATAATATGCAGACATCAGTTAAAATCATGAATGATATTTGCATTAGTTATCTTTACAACACCTCATTGTCACTTCCAGGGCATAAGAAAACAGATTCCTAAGTGAAGAAGCTTTGTTATCCTATTGGCCTAACTTTAGCTCAAGGGAAAACTACATCTGAACTGACCTATCTCATCTTGGAGTAAACTGATATAAATCATACAGTAAAAAGTGCCAGTAGAGAATTGCAGAACAGGATAAACATAGAAGAAAATACACACAGAAGAAGAATTACAGGATCAGGTCAAGCACCTCTAAAGCCTTGAGTACATGTTCTGGTGCAATTGTTCGTTTGCCTTCTCTATTACAAACTTCATTCGATTCTGAGGAGATAAGATTAATGAACTCTGCACAACACAGAAAAAGTCACAAACACTTAGCTAAGGAGAAAGAGGGAAATGACCTTGTGAAGTTAATTTAGAAAATAACGGAAGTTAAATAAAGTAATAATAGAAGCTATGACTTTGCTATCCACTTAAGGTAATTGAAGAGGTGGTGATCCAATTATCCATAGAGGGAGATCAGGAAACGAAAGATAGTTTAACAAAGACATATCACCAGCAGCTCCGCCCCAAATTACTTTAAATTCATCTAACAGGACATGGACTGTAAAAGGAGATCAATGAATTTTGGATCTATTAGTATAACTGTGTAATCTGGAAGCAATCTATTTGAGTTGTATGAATCATTTTTTTAAAAATAAAAAATTTGGTGTCTGGGCCAACTTTCGTGCACCTTTACTATTCAAACAGCGTACTTGCGTCCTCCCACTAAAGCAGGTTCCAAGTAAATTCTGGCTTAGGCAAATGGGAAGAACCACATAGTTTTTTGCCTCTACCAGGATTCCAACCTTGATCTATTTGAGGTGTATGAATCATTTTAGAATAAAACGCAGGATCTTTTTAAAACCTTGACTCCTATTAACAGTTTCTCATAGTAACCCGCTTAATGTCTTAAATGTCTTAAACTGTGCTCAGTAGTCACTACCAAGCACTTCTCTCATACTTTTCTTACTATGTCTCTTCAGACTATATGAAATTTGAGGACCAAGAGGCCTTGAAGACACACTACTCCCTCAATTCAATAACTTCCAACAGTGACAATAGATTATACACCAGCTTATTCCCAGTAAATCAGCTTGATAAAAGAAACTCCCATTAAAATCAGAGAGAAGCAGAATTGCGTTCATAATCAAACAGTATTAAACAAAGTCAGAGCCGTCATGATAACTAAACTGAATCCATAAAATTAAATTGGACAAATTAAAATCAACTCACCTACACAACATTCAATCAAAAGATCTTGAGCATCTCGGGCAACACGAACATCTGGGGGCAACATTTCTTTAATAATTTTTGTCATAGTTGCTGAAAAGAGATACACTGGTCAGTATAGCCAAAGAAAGTAAACCATTAATGAAACTAAGTAATTTAAATCAAATAGCAAATTCGTGAATATTTAAATGACTTTCAGAGATTAGGAATAAAAAAGCAGCATTTTTTCTTTATACGCTGATGAGATAGAACTGAGTTACTCTGGCTATTGATACATAATGTGACGGGAACTTCAAAAAAGATTGACACAAAATATCCTACTTACTATGTAGAGGTAGAACAAAAATAGAGAAGTTTAGACAGCACGAAGAATCAAGCTATTAGCTAACTGAAACTGATTTTAGAATTCAGTAAGTTGTGCACTGCTCAACCCTATTTCTCGACTTAAAACTCAACTGTGAGACAGAAATGCTATACAACGTTTTTTGCAACCACCTAGCTAATTATGTCGTCTTTTGGACAGGATAATCATAAGTGTTTAGCTAATATCTCACGAGAACTCTAATATCTTGGACAGGATAATCATAAATTAAGCTAATAAACAATTTTCCTCACCAAATAATTTAAACTTTCAAATCAGTAGACACTCATTTAATTTGGTGAAAAGCAATCCGAGTAAACAGTAATTAAGTCTAAATATGCTGGCTCAAAATTATTCTTTTCTGAATATATTTATACATGAACGGAAACTAAAGAGGGAAGAGAGAAGAAACCTTTGGGAAGTGAAGCATCTTCCTTTGATTTACCAACGATGTCCATAGGTTCCATTTTAACCCTTCAATAACCAAACCAAAAATTCTTAAAATTAAAATCACAAATTCTTCGAATTTGCAGAAAAAACTAAAAGGAAAGATCTGGAGCTTAGAAGAGAAAATAAATAAAATTATACTGACCTTACGAGGAGAAAATCGCGATTCAGGCAGATTGAATTAAATAAAAATTCAGTAGCAATTCAGCCGATTGGCAGATATATAAAAAGGGATCGACGTAGGTGATCGGAGTCGTAGACGGTGGTTGTTCATGGTCGATATAGAGCAGGAAGTGGTCTAGGGCTAAGTTTCGGTAAAGCGCATTGAATGAATAGAATACCCACGCGCGCGTAAGGACGTGCGACTCATAAAGCAAAGGCTCGTGAGTGATAATCGGGGAGTGGTTTGCACGTAGATCTTAAGGGTGTGGGAAAGTGTAAGAAGACAAAATATAGTTTATGTTGTTATATAGTGGTGTATTCGTCTTTACGGTAGCTGATACCGCGGGTAGGAGCGGTCGGCATAAAATCCGAAAAATTAAATCGGTATCGGTTTCTTCGATTCTTCGGTAATTAATTCGGTATAAATATTTCAAAAATTTGTTACAGTTCTCGGTATTGAACTTTCAATAAACCGAAATATCGAGATTTTCAGTAAGCCCGCCAACATTTCCAAGTCCAAGTCCAACTGCACATTTCCCAACCCAACTCCAAGTACCATTTATAATCCATCAATTTCGTTTAACATGCAGCTCCCTTCGTTTCAATTTATGTGAATCTGTTTGACTGAGCATGGAGTTTAAGAAAAAAGAAGACTTTTAGAATTTGTGGTCTTAAATAATTCAAAAAGAGCCCAGAGTATTTGTGTGGTTGTAAAAGCTTCTCATTAAGGGTAGAATTGTAAGTTTAAGCAAAATTATTTTCAAATTTAGAAATGGATCATTCTTTTTTAAACGGACCAAAAAAAAATAGGTTCACATAAATTGAAACGGAGGTAGTATTATATTTTTGTCAGTTATGTCCTATCTGAATGTTAAACAAGAATGCAATACATGAAAAAATTATACAAACGCTAACTGATTCTTGAAGCCTCTTGCAGCTGGATTTCCCTCATCTCCCAATGATGAAATATTTATCCACTACCTTGAACTAGAAGTATATATACACAAAATCTGTAGTTAAATTTTATCAAATATTTAGACATATGTAAAAAAACTGTGTCTGCACTCACAAGTTTTAAAATCCTAGATCATGGTATTTTTGAGTCTACTCAATTTTATTGTAGTGAGGTGTCAACCTGAGAACATACGCCAAGACAAATTGAGCAGGGTACGTGAATATGTTATATCCCATGGTGTGTTCTTTCTGCCAAACAATCAGCATGGTAAAGATGACTGCAAACTAAAACTTACACAACTAAGGTGTACAAATGAAATCGACAAACCGCACCAATTCGATAATCCGAGTCAAATCGAAAAAAAAAATTCGATTATGGTTTGGTTTGATAATTGATTTGGTATGGCAAAAAACCCCACCATATTTGGTTTGGTTTGGTTTTAACTACAAAAAAGTCAAATCGAAACCAGACCAACCCGACATTATATGTATAGAAGTTTTAAATATATTTAATGCATAAAAATATTTATTGTAGTGTAGTTTATAAATATTTCTTAAGCTTTTTTATAGTTTTATCTTTTAACGTATTATTTCAAGCTTGGACTTATAATTTTTGGATGCTCCAATAAGTTTTATAGTCCATAAATGTTAGTAACTCAAATAAATCCTAAACCAAATCAAATCAATATTAATACTAATAAAATACATTCAATTCAATTGTACTGTGAATGAAAATAGTGTTGGATATTTATTTTTTAGTTTTTTCATGGTTTAGATAAAATGTATAACTTATTTTTCTTTTAATGGTTAGTCATGTAAATAATAGTACTTATTAGTCGTAATTTTAAATTATGTGTTTTTCATTATGGCTTATTAATAATATTTATTTTATGCGATTTTATTAGCTTTATTGTTGAATATTTTAATACAATGTCATGACTCATCTCATATTTATATTATTTTATTGAAAAATACCTTATATAGTTTTGTCTTACTAGGATTAAAGAAATATTTGGAGCACAAATTTTACGTTTTGTGCTATGAAGACTTTATGAGGAAAAAAAACCCTGAAAACCCGAATAATCCGAGAAAATCCGAGATTAAAAAATCTGACTTTTATTGGTTTGGTTTGGTTTGGTATTTAGATTTGATAACCCGATACAATTGGTTTGGTTTGGTAATTAAAAAATCCGAACTAACCCGACCTATGTACACCCCTAGCCACGACAAAGGGTTCGCTAGAGGATATATACTGCTATTGAGTAACACGACAGAACATATATGTGAAGAAATTATTTTTTCTTTGAAAATTATCTAAAGAAAACTAACAGCTATTTTACCGTACCATATCAAAATTGTACCGAACCAAACTAAGAAATACCGAACTGTATCGAACTACATTGGTACGGTATTTGGTATAAACAATTGATATATCGAATACCGAACTGAAATTCTTAAATATCGTATCGAAATACCGAATGCACACCCCTAGCAGATAGTGGTGAAATTTCATGAATTGCCAATGGAAGCGAGAGGAGAGGAGAGAAGAGTTACCGATTCTAGTGGATTTGCTTATCCATGCCCACTATAGATGCCTTAATTTGGGTCGTGTAGTTGGGCCCGCAGTCCATTTAGTATCAAGTCTTTGTTTTTTTTCTTTTGAAATTTTACACTGTATAACCGGTCTCCAAAATAATAGCCAGCAAATATATATTTTTTATATTTTAATATATAATATTATACATTAACTAGCGATTGTAATTATTTTTGACTAGCTGGCCAAACGTGTTAAAAGCTCTTTTCTTTTTTCTTCCTTTGGGCACCACTATTTTAAAAGGCAGAATTGAGACTCGCCCATAGTGAGACACTCATAAAATGCTGTAAAATTTGCATGGGGCGCCCTATTTGGTCGCCCCTTTTTAACTTGTTTTCTGTTTGCATCCGTACCCGTTTTTTTGTTAAAAACCTTTTAAAAAGATGATTTTGCCCTTCTTTATTAAAAGACCACTTTCTCTCCAAATATACGTCATTCTACTGTCTTTGTCTCTCTTCTCGCGTTCTTCGCATTTTTTGATTTGTTTCTCTCTGAAATCAAACGATTTTCGATTCTTCTTGATTTTTCAACTGTTTGTTCCCCAATAATATTACGTTTAATCGCAGGTACATTGCATTAACCTTCTGGGTTTTATTTTAGTATTATTTTTACAATTTAATTTCTGGTTTTTTTTTTTATAGTCATCTTAGTTGAATCGTTTCCCTTTTTTTTATTTATGATAAAATAGTTTCCTAGGTTTTACTTTGATTAGTGCATTAGTTTTCTAGGTTTTACTTTTACGATTGTGTTTTTAGTTTTTTTTTTGAATGTGCGTTTGTATTTTTTGATGAAAATTCTATAAATTCTTCAGTGATTTTTGGATATTTTGATATTTTTAACAATTTTGAGAGTAAAATAGATGATGCTATTAAAGTGTGAAGTTTATAATACTTCAATGACAACTTAATTCTAGGAGCTGGAGTTTTGTTTTGTGTTTTGTGTTTTTGTTATATTATTTTATGAACTTCAACATTATTTGGAGTTGAATTTGTGTTCTGTATTTATAACTTCAGCATTTCTAGGAGCTGAAGTTTTGTTTTGTGTTTGCTGAAATTCGAGTTTTTGCTGAAATTTTTGTTTTGTAACTGTTGAATTTCAGCATTATAGTCCTGAAGTTTTTGCTTTGTGTTTGCTGAACTTCGAGTTTATGCTGAAGTTTTTGTTTTGTAATTGGTGAACTTTCAGCATTTTAGGAGCTGAAATTTTATTTTGTATTTGCTGAACTTCAGCATTTAGGAGCTGAAATTTTTGTTTTATATTTGCTGAACTTCAGCATTTAGGNAAATTTTTGTTTTATATTTGCTGAACTTCAGCCTTCTTAGACCTGAAGTTTTAACTGATTTTTTTTGATAATGTTCTGACGTTATTTTTCCTATCTTTTTTTTTCCGAACAGATGGCATCTACGAATCCTAAAGCACCTAAAGATCCTAAAACACCTAAAGCACGTAGAATACACAAATCTCCTTCAGTCCCTATTACTCTACCTACAAAACCAGGGGACGGATATTATAAGTTTGGAGATTGGTTTAACTGTCATGCTTACTGAAAGGGGAACAACGGATTGAAGCATTATATTGCAACTTTCTTGACTCTTACACAACATGAGAAGCTGGATATTGGTACATTTTGGTATATTATGGCGATGGAGAATTTCCATTGCAGCATGTAGTTGGTTCATTATTTGATTCTTTCTCGCGTATTCACCAATGATCGAGACTCCATTAGTTTCAAGATTTTTGGTCATAATGTGTCGTTCAATCTTGAAGACTTTCATATTATGTGCGGTTTGAGGATCACAACACATAATATTGAAAAACCAGTTAAACAAGAGAGCAGGATTCTGAAGCGCTATTTTGGCAAGTCTAAGGGTGTGACCTTGAAGGACATCGAGATTATATGACCCGGAATAAAATTCAAAAGGATGATGTGAATTTCAAACATGTATGCGAGAGTGATGAAGATGTTGTGAAGCTTATGGAAATTCTTGTTGTGGAGTCTGTTTTGTTTGGAAAAAAAATGAATTAACTGTGTCGGCGGAGTATGCGGCTATTGTTGAAGACGATAAGGCTTATGTTGATTATCCTTGGGGTAATGCGTCTTATGAGAAGCTCATTACCTCAATGAAATATTCTTTGGACAACCAGGACAAAAAGAAACCAACTGAGTATACTGTAGGTGGATTTCCATTTCCACTATGCGTTTGGTTCTATGAGCGCTTCCTAGATATTCGGGAGAAGTATTTAAAAGAGGAAGACTTCCTTGATGCCCCTCAGGTTCCCAGGATATTACGTTATGTATCTTTGGGAGAGCCTAAATAAAAAGAACTTTATGAGAATTATTTCAGTAATCATGGTGTAAGTTAATATTTTTTATTTTTCCTTTTTTTCTGTAGTTGTGTTAATATGTAGACGTATCAGTTTTATTTTATTTTTATAATATACTTTTTTATGTTAAACAAAAATATCGGACATTTAGGATAGTGGGTATAATTCCTACCGAAGAAAAATTAAATTCAATGCCTTTAATTGGACAATTACCATGTAGCCGGATTCGTTCAAAGGTACTGAATCCGGTTCCATCAACTGGTGAATCACCACGTAGTCGGAGTTGATCAAAAGAAGCCAATCAAACTCCTGTAATTGGTGAATCATCACGTAGTCAGAGTCTATCAAAAGAAGCTAATCGAACTCCTGTAATTGGCGAATCATCTCGTACCCAGAGTCGTTCTAACCGTTCTACAATGGCGTTTAACAATGATGAATTAGTCAACACAAT